ATAACTCTGTGATTTCACCATAATACGTAAAGGCACCTATTGCCACGGTATTTCATGCAATATTCAAAAGGTAATAAAAAAATAAGCAGTTATTGTACGTTATGAAGGTTTCACTATTTTTATCAGAAACTTTATTGTTTTTACTCTTAAAATAAGTTTTGATTATTAAATCTTAATTTTTTTTCAAAATCAAATAAAAATATGAAAGAAGCCGAGGCACCTTATTCCGATTTAGAATTCTTCCGCTGGTTCCTGAGATTTTGTATTATGATTTTATTAGTATTCTCTAATAAAAAATCAATAATAAATACTAATGAAACCATAGTCCTAAATTCCTAAAGAAATAGAAAAGGGAAATAGGTAGGAAGTATGATACATGGTGTTTAAAAAAATAAATTCATAATTATTGCCTACTAGGTGCACAGTAAAATTAATAAATTGATGTCACAATATTCAATTAATTAATAAAATGCCTTTTATATAAATTATTAAAATACTATATTTATTTAACCTAGTTTACGGACAAGTGCTTTTACTAGTTTTGAAAAAAATGGGAATTGAATTAGCTACCCTAATTATTTACCTATGACACAAACTTGCTTTTAGATCATTTTAGACTTTTTGAATATTAAAGTTAAGTGTAGTTTGAATGTGAAATTAAATTTTGTAAGATCTAGAGTGTCTAACACTATTATTAATTATGAATACATTTACAGTATTTCACTTCAAGTATAATCACAACGTTGTATTAGCACAAGCAAGAATCGCCTACAAAATAAACTAAACAACTAATAAACCTATAAAATCACAATAGGTGAATAAGCTTTATGTTTAGTTTTATTCATTTACTAATCAGCACCTTTTAAATTGAAATTAGTATCAATTCTATTCTCATTCTCATTCTATTATAAAAAACGCAAAATCAACATTAACAATCAATATATAAAACATATTAAAACTATTCTAACTCTATGGTACAAGATTATCGTTAAGACATTTTTACACTTGGAGACTATCTACTACATAACTATCCCTATATTATATAAAAATCAATTGCAGTTCGTTACTTTCGCTAAAACTCGAAAACTCGATCTCGACCTATTGTCATGAATTTTTTTTTTTGTGTTTGAGTGAGTCTCTGAGGTGGTGCTGTTGACGAGATCTAGAAATCACCCGTGCGAAGCCGGGGCGGATCGCTAGTATATGGTAATTATTCAATCTACCAAGTAACATTTTTAATATTTTTGAAGAATGCTTACAACAACATACGTTAATTTTTGAAAGTTAATAAATTGAAAAAAAAAGTTAAGAAGAAGCCATGAGTAATTGAATAATTAAACAAAGAAATGTGTTGTAATTAAACAAAGAAAATATATGGCAACGCAAGCTACGTTAGGCCCGTTTCATACGTAGCTCTAATATAATTATATTAATTTAAGTTATGGCAAGACATATTATTACGATATATTTTCTATAATAATCTTTGAATGGCCTTACATGCAGCTATAATATATATTTTTATACACAAAGACGATATTAACCTATATTAAATGATAGGAAACATAAAGCAAGTTTAATTACTATATTTATCACAAATTTAAACATATTATTCATCTTTCTTGGGTACTGATACTTCTTTCTTGAGTTACTGAAACCTTTTTTATAGGATAGGGTGACAAACGAGCACACAGTCCACACATCCACATCTATCCTCAATAAAGAATCAAAATGCAGATGCGTCGTCATCCGTGAGTAGGGTTACCAGATGAAAAAATTAAAAGTCCGGAGAAGAGGCCTGATTTCCATTTAAAAGAGATTTTTTTACAGTTTGAGAAGAAAACCTTACATAAAAAAGGTATCTTCACATATTAAGTATGACAAAACTGTTTAAGTACTTACTTGGATAAATAAGTTTTGATTTAATTGTGGAATTATTACCAAAGGAAAATTATTTTTAGTTTGTTTAACTTTTTATTAAAGAGATCTTTAAAATGTAAGCTGTATTATATTGAAAGTTCTAAAAATCCTGAGATTTCATGAGATTTGCAAAATCCAGCCGCAATCCTGGGAAGAGTCTAAAAATCCTGAAATCTCAGGACAAATCCTGAGATATGGTAACCCTATCCTAGAGGACTAAGATGGAATGCCTCTTTTCCAATAAAAAGGGTATCCGGTTCTCTGCAGTCACCATACGAAACACAGGAGTGTCAAGCTGCTATTTTACGCTGGTATTCTGTGAGAGCGTGGTCCTTCCCCGGTCGAGTCGACCCATTCGCGCTACAAATATACTACTAATATAGCTGCAACATGTCCCTACCACGTGTAAACTTTTGCACATGCTTGTATCACATTTTATTATATTGTATCGACTTTTTACAGCCTCGTTGGTGGTGACAGTCACAAGAGCAAATCTAATATAGCTGTATTTTGAAATCCTATTTTACCATAATTTATTCAGAAAAAAAAACACAGAAGTTAAACGTTTTTAATTAAAAATATAATTCTTGCATTAAGTCCACCCAAAGGAGTGTGCACACAGTACAAAAATAACAAGAAATACACTATTTAATAAAACAGTCCAAAAGTTTATGTAATCGTGAATTTAGACCTGCTTTTGACACAAAAATTATCGATTCAAAGATGTTTTAAAACATCTTTGTATCGATTATTTAAAAACGTGTACACAATACGTCAATCAGCCTTTGACGATATAACCACGCAAAAGTATATTATCAATTAATTAAGAGATACTCGTATTGTAGTAAAATAGAGCTTGCAAATCACTTGTTAACGTCGTTTCTTTAAATACCTCGAAATATGATGCTAATTTCAGAACCCCGCGGCATAAGGTGCCATTACCTTACAATACATACGTAAAACTACCCATCCAATGGAAATTCAATAATGTGTACAGAAAAAGAATATATTTTAAGAGTCAAGAAATGTTTCTAATTTTTCCATTGCACAAAAATATCTCCAAGTTTTTTGGTTGTAACATAGCTAAGATCACTCCTGACATTATACTCTATTTGTTATCTGCTGTAAATTTCATCACAATTGGCTTAGCCATTCCAAAGGTTAGCCCGGACTGACAGAAAGACAGACAGACAATAATTTTTCAAATGGGTTTTTCATGTTGCAATTAAACCCTTTGAGCTCGATAAAATGCAGTTATATCGATATTACAGACAGATACTCCAATTTTATTTATACGTATAGATATACATAATAGATCTACATATATAGGAGCATAGATAACCGATCACCTGGTCTGAACCATTTCCTTTGACAAGCACACAGGCCTAGGTTGAGAGGTTATCGCAAGATAATAATGTTAATTGCATTGACATAATATATTGTTGCTGACTACGTGATAGTGAAAGCATATGGCTTAATAGCCACGAATTTGATTATATACATAACATGATGGTTTTAATCTCATATTATAGTCGTGTTGGTTGTAAACTTGTACGAAGTTCAATATTTTGTTAACATTGAGATGTCATTGTTTGAGATTTCGGCTAGGTATACGCTCACTCGTTAGATAATGTATCAAAATATTCGTCATATATACGCGCCATTAAACTGTGTAGGTATAATATATTATAGTACTATTGGAAAGTATATAGCCGATATTCTACACATTATTTTCTTTTATTTTCTAAATTATAATTCTTTCTTCATTTATTTTATCTTACTTAAAAGGAAAAATTCCTAAATTGCAACATTTTTAAATACCACGGGATATAATTCTGTATTTGTTAAGGTATAAACAAGACAATTAGATGGTATGTATGTGCTTCTTTTCAACCGCCTTCAAAAAAGTAGGAGGTTCTCAATTCGACTGTATTTTTTATGTGTGTACCTCAGAACTTTTTTCTAGGTGAACCAATTTTTATGATCCTTCTTTGTTTGAAAGCTGGTGCTTCTCATGTGGTCCCATATAAATTTGATCAAGATCTGACTAGTAGTTTTTGAGTTTTCCTTAATAATGCGTATATTTAATTGACTTCGACTACATTGATGATGTTCTCAATTTATTCATATTGAAGTCGGTTGTACAAATTTTTTAATTTTATCACTTTCTAGTGACATATTACCGTTACCGTTACAGCCTATTAAAGTCCACTGCTGAACATAGCCTCCCCCATAGATTGAGTCATAGGGGGATATTTGCCATAGTTGCCACGCTTGGCGAAAGGGTTGGCCAGCGCAATTTTTTTTTAGTTTTGACCGAATGTGGTGGTTTGGACATGAAGAATGAATAAGTAGAGAGTGACCAAGAGTAACAAAGCTAATTTATGTTGCAAAAGTGAGTGGCAGATTTAGCAAAGGACGCTCTAGACGAAAGTTTATCGACCAAATTGGCGATATATCAAAGATGAGCTAAATTAAGAGCACCTATAACCGAGAAGCATGTATATGCATGCATATGGATATGAAAGAAGCGAGAGAGATTTGTCTGGATCGTGCCAAATAATATTACCAAGTGTTTCCACGATCAAATTAAAATGTATTCATAAATTATGACTCAAAAACATAGGATAAAATAAAAATCCACACGTGAAAGTTACACAGGCGTTAAAATTAAATGCATATAGAAAGATCAAAATATCACAGCAAATTTTTGAAAATCGAATTAATTTTCTCGAATTTACGGAGTTACTCCAGAATGTATCGCGCAACAATCGCGTGTTAATCGTTTAATAGAAACATTCATTCCTGATTTTTCATGTCACTTAGTTTTATTTGCATGATGATCGGGCTTCTCTATTCTCTAGGGTAAATTTAAATTGCAAATTGACATCGGTTAACGTGCATAGCTTTTTTATGTGACTATATCCCTGCTGTGATTTATACATATATACAGGTACTTTTAATGACAAACGTTAATCTTGTAAATACGTTAATAAATTTACCTCCTACTGTACCTACGTTAATATTACTCTTATTTGACAACATCGAGCAGAAACAATAATAAATGATAGAAATTCACTAACCTTTTCAATGATGTGTGTTTACTGCCATTGCTAAGCAGTTTATGTTTGGGTTTATCATGGGCTCCAGTTGGGGTCGAGGATGATATAGTAAGATCGCTCGCGAAGGAGTTCGTCGAAGAATCCTTAGAGATGTTGCTCCGAGCCTTCCTTACAGTTGATTCAGGGCTCCCGGGGCTGGCAACCAGTTCCAACGCAAGTCGCCCCTTCCCGGGTGCTGGAGGGGGCTTTTCTTCCACGGGGACCATGTACGACAGCATGGCTGTCTGTGTTTATGACTTTTATAACATAGAATTAACAGCGTCCAATTTTACGTGTATACGTGAAAGACGCTATTTTCCCGTATGTCCATATTACACACAACTGTATTATCGATATGTTAACGGTTTTATCACCACACTAGCCCCGGTATCTTTGCCACAGTCTATTGAGATCTGAAAGATAATATAAAACTATAATTTTAAGCAAGATAATACAAAGACGCTGTATAAAAGTGCAGAGGTATAATTCAATACTCTAGTTTCAATAAGGAAGACATATTAAATGTATTTCATATTATAAATTAACTAAGAGAAAAAGAAATTATAACAAAACGCTGATAGGTATCTACAATTAACGAAGCGTTAAATTAAGATCGGAATAACATCTCAAGCGGTGTTTTAATTCCATCTTATTTTGAAACGGCGCGTGTTGTTGTTGTTTTAATCTCCGTTACTTTACAACGAGCGCGTTGTCCTAATTTGCCCTTAACAATTTCACTAGTCATCGCCCACAACGGGAATCAAACTCGCGACCTCACTTGCCACGACCTAATTAACGACTTCAGCATAATGTATTGGATAGATCCGACTTGAATTATAAAACGGAAAATACTTATAAGTAATTTTTATTATACGCATTCGTATGTTTTTTGATCACGTGAAATAACACGTTTTTTATGCATCTTGACCTTGACAGAATGATAACCTTCACGGGCAAGTTATTCGATTAATTTTAATTCACTGGCGAATTATTAAACGAGACACATTTACTGCAGGAATTGGGATTTGATAGTTTATTAAACAATAAGAATTTTATCTTTCACAATTCATATTGTTTTGACGATAGCTGCATGCAGTGATTCGTTATCAATTTACGCATCAAGAACTCTACATTTCTTGTTTCTAGCCAAGGTCATTCAAATAATTCGCATAATATCTGTGAGTCGACAATAACAACATCTATTTTAAACGAGTACATACATACGTACCTAATTTACAATCTCCATGTCATTGAGAACGATGCCAATGTATTTCTTCCAATCATAGCATCCACTTCCGAAACGCTTTTAATCTGAAAATGAAAATACCATGTACTTTTCTTAAACAAATAAGAGGCTTAAGTTCTTTTATTACGTAAATCCTCTAATATATCTCTAATATATTACTGTGAATAAAAAGACTAAATAAAATGGAGCGCTAATAAACAATGCATTTGTTTATTTGTTTAGAAAAAAAAACATGGTCGGAACAACACACATCCAAATATAAATAATGGTGTCAAGCGATATACCTATACAGACTTTTTAACAACGTAGGTAGATACTACGAGAAATTTCGGGCTTTACTCATCTAGTGGCGCCTCGCAGAAACCGATCGTATAACATTGCCGGTAGGCTGTAGCCTAAATATAACTATTGCTTTAACGAGTTTATACCGATTCATTCATAAGGTGAACGCGAAAACACACCCAGTTGTTTATTTCTTCCAGTTCCAGTTCACGATAGAATACTGGGAATAGAAACAAAAATTTGTACGGAACCGTTATTTCACGACGAATGACTCTCAGAGGAACGATATAGCGAGCTTCAGGTGATTCAGGTCGTGTGGGAATGACAACATAATAGCATTTCTCAGTCAGGGAAAGGTCAGCCGCTTGCGATGAACTCATGACTTCGTGTGCTCGGTACTACTGATCACAATCGTCTGTTAATTAGAAACATTATTCCATATTATGTAAGAGATATGTATATTACGTAAATGTTAAGTTATTGTTTAAATAGAAACCGAATGATAATCCGATAATCACTTTTTGAATTAAACAGATATAACAGTTTGAGGCGTCGTAGTTTATCATATATTTTATTATTATTATGCTATCTCTCCTATATCAGTTCACATTCTCTTTTGATTCTTACTAAAAAAGCTCACATATTAATTAATGATTATTTATAATTCATAAAATAAATATCAGTTTTCTTAGAACGTTTCAAATATATAGAAAAAGCTGAAGAGCGTAAATCAAAAGAAATAAATGCGCTGCGATTTCGAACTACAACTGGTAAAATTAGAAACAAATTTTAAAACGCTCGCGGTAATAATTTGGATCAGCATTCAGCAGTTACTTCCACATATCGTAGCAATATCGCACGCAAGACGTCTTTCCATACACATATAACTGCTACAAAAAATTTCTACTGTAATATTTTATTCCATAAATTGTTTGAATTCCTAATATTTTCAATGCCCAAATGACGAACGAGGTTGCCAGATTTCATTCATTCGGAAAGTGTTTTTACAGCCGCTAGAGAACCATTCTATTTGCTCCATGATGACAGCATACGGCATACCGCCTGGCTTGATTTGATAGTAGAAACTTATTTTAATTTTATGCCGCGTGAATTAAACAACAAGATGTAGTTTAAAATGTGAATCGTATTTATATTTAATTTAAAAAAAAACACGTCCATGTACACTATCATGTCTATACGTCTCGTTATTCATAGATGACTCACGACACATCGTACAGATTACGCCAGTATATTGTATGTATATTATGGTATGCATATTATTTCACGAGCTTTTTCACTCGGTTACGCTCGCGTGGCCTAAGCCAAAATCATTAGTATTTCATGCCTCCGTGTGAATTGGCATAGTTGAAACATGCAGTTACAAATCAGATGTGGGATTAAAATATGTAATACATTTGGGATTTGCAAAGCCCATTATTAGAAATACCATTTTAAAAGTATACAAAACATTACTCTCTGATTAATGCAATAAATGCAACCATGTTTCTGTATGGCTTCTCCTACCGTATTTAAAAATGTATTGATATGTAATTCTCAAACAATCTCGCATAATATAGTAGACTAGCTGTGCCCCGCGGTTTCACCCGCGTATATCACGCGTCTGCGCCTTGCGACATGCGAACTTCGAGAGAGACATCACGACGGGCGGTTGCTGAATTAACAAAGATTTAAAAAGTGAAATATGTTGCTAAAATTACATGGTCAACGTAATTGGTGGTTATGCATGATACAGGTACTGATACGAATAATGTGGCCTATTTTGTACCGGCGTTACTATTTCACATTTTAACATGAAAAAGTAGTTATTGTGACATAACTGTAATAGTTAAACATATGGTATCGCAGACTTTTTTTGTAGATATTGATATCTTCTATAAAACTGAAGTACATTACTTTGCTCTATTATCAATAGTTTCCGCAGCTTACGCGATATAAGGATTCTTTTTGGTATTTTTTTCACACATTGTTAACGAAGTTTTCATACGGATCCCTAACTTTTTTGAAAACATCATATAGCCTATCTTCATCAGGGATAATGTAGGATTCTAATGGTGAAAGAATTTTTCAAATCGGTCCAGTAGTTTCGGAGCCTATTCAATTCAAACAAACAAACAAATCTTTCCTCTTTATAATAGTATAGTATAGTGTAGATAAGGTTGCATTATTGCTATTTTTCTTCTTTTATAAGCTTTTACTTATCTACACCTACTAATATGTGGGTCAAATCTTAAAACTGAATTTGAAACCAGTTCCACCTAATCGATTAAGCTAAATTTTTGCACATAGTTTAAGTAATAAGTATTTACAAATTCCTTGATATGAATTCAAATGAAAGGGTTTGTCAATCACAATACGTCATTCTCATTTCTATAATAACAAGTCGAATGCTCAAAGATGGTGCATCTATCTAAATGCTTGTTTTATTTTTGTATATTAAAACTCATTATTCATTTAATTGGATAAAAATAAAATTCTTTTCATTTATTGCAAAATGTTTCCTGGCGATATTTGATCCATAATTTGTCCTAATACTAGCTTATTTTTTTTTCACGTTTCACTCGGTTCAATTCCAGATACAGGCAAATGTTTTAAAATTAGAGGTGAGACGTATTTATTAGCTTCGGTATGTGATAGATATTTTTCGATGCTAGTCCGCGCCTAATCCAAATCGTCAAGAATTAGGTATGGCCAACGAACTCTTAAACACTATAGAGTTCGTTTGGTATGGCCGAATATGGCACGGATGTAATATCGCGTCCATTCATTTGCGAGCTATTTTTAATCTTATGTTTGAAAAATACGTTTCCAATGAGGAATGTTAACAATTTATAACTTGCACACAGGATGTTGTAGGTTCGATCTCCAGATAGGACACAACATTTAGTGATCCACATATTATCTTTATATATAAAAATTACGTGTCACATTGTTTGTCCGCGATGAACTACTAAACTGATTTCAATGAAATTTTGCACACTGTGTGCAGTTTGGTCCAACTTGAGAGACAGGATAGTTTTTATCCTGATAAGTGACACTCAATATTTTTTTTATTACGAATTTAAGGATTTTTTATGTGTAGGGTCGTCGAAAAGGGCCGAACAACGCCTGCCTGGTCATTTTTATCAAACATTCGAAAGCCTGTTTCTTTTCCATACATATTTACTGGTTAAATTTCTATAATCCCTAGGAAATTTTTTGTCATAAACTAGCAAATACTAGCAAAAATACCATAAAGTGTTTACTTTTAAACGATTTTACATACCGTGTGCGTGTACTGTAAATACTTTAAGAAATGTATGTAGCCTATGTAATGTAAAATCGCTGGAGGGCGCAATAAATAAAATGAAAATAAAATAAAATTAAAAATCTATTTAGTTTTTCAAAAACTTGATATAAAAAACAACATAGGTTACACAACCCACAATAAGATTTTTAAACCGAGTCCCAGACAATACTTTAATATCGGCAAAGGAACGCTCTGCAATACTTGGAGCTTACTTTAAGCATTTTGAATTTGAATGCAAGTGGCTCAGCCCGGTGCTTTGTAGCGTTCATTGGGGGAGGCTAGTGCTCAGGAGTGAACTTGTAATGGCGATCGTAATCTTTTATTTACTTAACATACATTATATACTTATACAATATGTAACAAAAACCCTGTGGTTCCCGTTAAGTACGTTATCAGGATCATTA